TTTCAAAATAGTAATATTAATGTACATTCAACATGAAAGTAATATCACTTCCATAAACATAATGTTGTAAAGGCGGCGTTGGATGTATACAATATGAAGAAACAGTATATTTTAAACTAAACTATAAAATTAAACTGATCAATAAATATCAGAAAAAAATTTATATAGAATCTTATTTCTGCATGTGTTTTACATACCTACTCTGCGAATTCCATAGCATTGGAGACTGTTTCAGATAAAAATGCAAGATGAATTTGGCAAATAAAATAATAATAATTTCTTCCCAAACTATATCTCAAACTAGATTAAAATTAAAAAATTAAAATAGAAATGTTAATTAAAAATAATTAATTCATATTGTAAATTTCAAATATCTTTATCTTTCATATAGTGCACATTATCTCATCAAAAATTACCCATGCATCACTTTATTGCCATGAAAGCATAGTCAATAAAATCTATTTTCTTGAATAACAATTTATTAGTTTATATATATAATTCTTTATGTTAAGGATTTTAAAATTACTCTGTAGTCATATAAACAATTTGCATAAGGTTTAATGGAAACATCACCAGTTATCAATCCAATTAAAAGAACTTTTAATTCTCTGTATTTTTAATTGCTTAAAGCCTTGAATATAATAGTAATAATTAACAGTTAAATTACTGGAATTAATTAAAAAAGAAGTTTTATCGTTCGTATACCTTTATTGGAGTCGGTGTAAATGACTCTTTGTTTATTTTTCAAAGCTTGCGCAATAACATATCCTGCAACAACAGATTTTCCAGCAAAAAGTGTGTACATTAACTAAAATCTTTCTATACAGTGTATTGCAACTTTTGAAATGGATCCAATTCATTCTTTCAGGCGGGCCTGCAGCAGGCTGGGACTCGCAATTTTTACCCAGATTGCGGCGGTATGGGTTTGGGTTATTAGTCATGTGACATATATCCGAAATTCGTGTCACATGGTTTTTTTAAAAATATCTCGAACTTTGTTGTTAGAGTAAAATGAAAGTACTCCATTAAAGCTTTCTAATGAGTACTACATTATATTGAAATGCATTTTCTATGCGAAACTACGGCTATTCAAAAATGATATTGCCTTTTCACTTCAAAGCTCGGATTATTTCTCAATATCGCTTTAAAAGACTTGATAGCAAATGAGAAGGTGTAGAATACTTTAAGCTTTCATATGGTCATTACTTTATGGGGGTGTTGGTTAATAACTTTTAGAGAGGTTCACAAAAAACTATTTTATAGAAATTAATAATCATGAAGAATTTTATGATAGGATTCAGCAAAAACTAAAAGGTATTTTATTAGTGGTTGTTTTATATTTCTGACTTTATTTATATTGATTAAAGTTTCCATAATGATTATTAATTATTGTTTTATATAAATAAATAATAAATAAAATGTATAAATTGACTTTAGCACTTACTTTGATCAAACCTGCCTATACAATTATTGAATAATTGATAAACATTCGTTTTGCAAGCTTCATAGATCTTGACTAACACTTCAATCAAACCCGTCTATATAATTATTGAATAATTGATAAACATTTGTTTTGCTTCATAGATCTTGACTAATACTTACTTCAATCAAACCCGCCTATAATAATAAACATTCATTTTAACACTTCAATCAAGCCCGCCTATATAATTCTTTGAATAATTGATAAAGTGCTTATTAAATATATTTTGTAAACAGCTTCATAGATCTTGACTTTAACACTTCCTTCAATACAAGCTATTCAATAATTGATGAAACATTCATTTGCAAAACTTAATAATTGATAAAAATTCACCAGTATATTTTACAAACTTGCTTTGGAAGCTTCATATGTCATCATACATCTTGTATTTAACAATTAATTCACAATCTCACAACCTATCATCAACTATTGAATTTTATTTTTTCGGGATTGCACAATAAATAAATTTATCCAATGAAATGTTGTAAACTGGTTGGTATTCCATATTTTGCACAACTTGAAAAAAGTTGGTATATAAAATTGGATTACTAGCAACCATCCAGGAGAAGTCATGCAATGATGGAACCCGAGTGTGTTTAATAATCATTCACTGGAAAAATATTTAAAAGATTGAGACTTAATTAATTATTATGTACTAGTGTAATTACTCTAATATTAATAATATTAACATTAATATATATATTGTTTAATTTTAAAAATACCAAAAATAATCAACATTCTACTTGTAGAATAATCTAAATATTATATTTTATATATAAATAATTGAATAAAAGGAGCACTTCCAATTAAAGCAATTTTTTTATTGATGTTATTATAATCTATTATGTTATAAATAAAAAAATTGATTTAAAGAACTGGAGGAGCTGATATCTTCAATTTCTCTCTGGCATACTCTACAAATTAATATTTATGTGAGAAGGAGAACATGAAAAATAAAGGTGTTAAAAACAGTCAATTGATCAATTGATTTGATTGATTGATTGATATCATACCTCATCAATAAGAACTGGCCAAGCTCCTAATTTATGAAATGTTAAAATATTCATTTAATGACACTAATAAATCTTTACAAATTTAGAGTTAACTAAAAAAAAGTCTTTGGTTAATTAATTACCCTCTGTATCATAATTATTTAAATCCTCATTGATTTGTCTGGCAAATTCCAGCAGCTAGAAAAAATAATACACAAATGAAATAATTAATTCCAAGAGTAAATTATTACCAGCATAGCACATAACACACACATACCAAATTCCAAGTGTCTTTTGAGATTGCTTTACCATGTTTTTCCTAATTCAAATAAATAAATTATTACAAGTGCACACATATTAAATAAAATAAAGGTTTAATAGATGGATGGATTTACAATATGAACCTTGACAAATTCTAACCAGATATCAAGAAGTGGCCAATGATCTCCCAATAATAATTTCCAGAATTCAGTTGCTACATCAAGGCCTAATATATTTAAGAAAGTAAGTAAGGATTTGGAAAATAGTCAAGAAATTATCTTTTTCAAAAAAAAAAAAAAAAAACACAAACACAATAATAGTCATACTCAACGATTTTTTATTTTCTCCTAATCCAAATTTAAAAGTAAATTGATAAATTTCTTTAAATTTAAGGTCATCATTCAGGGTTTGTCTAAGACCAGGTATGGCTGCTCGCATCTTTAGAAGTGTATCACATCTAAATAAGAGATTTTAATAATTAACAACATTTTCAAGAAAATAAAATTTAGAAAAATAGGACTTGTGTTAAAAGAACCTTAGTTTCGACCAACCCTCAATAAATCCTTCATATTTAAATTCACCAATTTTTTCTGCTTTAAGGTGCCAAGCCATGACCAACATACCAACATCTTCAGGGTCAACTCCCAAATCATTACAATATTTTATACTCCATCCACTGAAATTACTCCTTTTCTATCCCTATCATTGCCTTCATCCCTATCTATAGAAATGGATTGTAATATATGTATGGCAGTATTGATGATACAAAGATTCTTTCTGGCGATGATGTGGCAAAGGCTTTTGAGCAATCATGTGAAGAAGTTGTCAAAATTCGAGAAGATGCACGATTACTCTTTGGCTTTAAGACCAGAGCTAAAGGAACACCCGATCTCAATGCTACAATAAAGTTTATTAATGCAATAGCTGGAAATTGGTGTGGATATACTGTCAAAAGTGATGAAACTCGTGTAGGTTCCAAGGGGCATCAAGTACGGAAGCGCACTTATTGGATTGATCATAAAGCATATGATGGATGTGGTTTTGAAACTCTAGAAGAAATAAGGGCTATAAAGGTTAATAATTCTAAATATCTCCCTATAGCTCCAATTATTCCACCATACAAACCAGAACCGATTGATGAAACTCAAAAACTTTTTGATTCAATACCAACTACTGATATTACCACTTCAGAGGAAGCAAAGCTTCGATGTTCTACATCATCCATTAATGAGGTTTGTAAAGAAAGTTCTTGCCATAATGTAATTGAGGAATCCATGACAAATTTACTTCAATCGCCTTCTACGATATCAACTCAAGATCAATTAAATGATTTCGAGCAATTCTCAAGTATTACTGAAACTAAGAAAGAGATACTTGAACCCTTAATCACGAAGCGTCTGCCTCCAGAAATTTCTTTATCTTCAGAATATCTCATCAAAAACGAATCTGATATAGATATCCTTATCCTTCTTTTACAACAAAAATATCAAATGTCTCAAGAAAAATTAGATCAATGGAGAAGAAAGATTACCTTTGAATTTCGGGATAATACCAGTTACTGGAAAAAAGAGCGCAAAAGCATGAATGAAATTGATTTTCTAGAACATAAACGAAATTTTGAGGCTAAAATGAAGGTCCCTACTACTCCGCATAAAAAAGAACTGAAAAATAAATCTCTAGCAATCATTGAATATGCATAATCGTTATAAATCTTTTAATAAAGCAAGCCTAAGGTACTAAGACAATATCATCTAGTTAAGTAGTAATTTCTGAAGAAGAGAGATTGCTACATTCGACTAGATATATATCTCAGGTAAGGGTTTTTGTCGCCTCTTACAATAAGCATTTAGAAAAATTTAAATCAAAAATTAATACTTCGATAGCTAGATCATATATGAGGGTTTTTGTGTCGGGAAATTTCCATCAAGGTACGCTTCCAGGTAAGAGATCGTGTTACAAAATAAAATGCATATATAAGGTATGTAATAGATGACCATTTTTGTGTCGCGTAATTTTGATCAAGGTAAAATTATGCTTTGGACGTTTATCAGATATATACAAAATAAATTTACGCTTTGGACGTCTACCAAATATATACAAAATAAAGTTATACTTTGGACGTCTACCAGATATATATAAATAAAATTATGCTTTGGACGTTTATCAGTATAAAGATATCAACTACATGAGAAAAGATTCTAGAGATTTAAAACATAGCGTATTTTCGATAGCCGGCCAAAGTAAAATTATTACAGATATATATTATAAAAAATTATGCTTTGGACGTCTATCAAGTGGGTAACAATTCGGCACTATGTGCCTCATTTTTGATCAATATTCGAAAGTATTAACTATGCAAGAAAGATTTCCAGGATCACAAAATATAGTATACTGGCAGTAGTCACCCAAAGTAAAATTATTACAGGTATATATATATTATACAAATTATGCTTTGGGTGTCTACCAAAATGATAACAATTCGGCACTACGTGCCTCATCATCGGATACTTTGATATATTACCAGATATGTTAACAATTTGGCACTACGTGCTTCATCCTCGGGTTACCAAATAGGATAACGATTCGGCACTACGTGCCTGGTTCGGGCATAGATATGGTATTTTCCAAGAGTGGTACTTATAGGCGACCGTCTACACATGTTGACGATGATCATGAATGTTACATGGCGGAGACTGAAATCACGGAGACCGATTTTTTCGATCAATCGTCATTTAAATGACGTCGAATTTGTGGATCAATCGTCATCCAAACGACAACGAATTCGTGGGTCAAATCATAACCCAAATGACGACGAATTCGTAACCCAAATGATGATGAATTCGTGAATATCAAGCCAAAACGGGTACCCAAAAATACTTAGGTAACAGTCTAATCGTAAGTAGGTAACAGTCTAATCATAAGTAGGTAACAGTCTAATCATAAGTAGGTAACAGTCTAATCATAAGTAGGTAACAGTCTAACGCAAGTAGGTCGCAATATATATATATTGCGACCTACTCAAGCAAATCTTGGACATATCAACTTCTCCAACTTTCTACTGTTTTAGAAAAGGAAAGATGCAATTAAAAAAGGGATAATTAATAAAAAACAATGTATACTATACAAATACATAATATTTACTATAATGGCATCATAATTTAATACACAATCTATTACACCTTGTCCAACGAAATAATCAAGACAGGATTTTTTCTTCTTTATATGATAATCATAACCATCACTTGATGATGATGATGATGGATTGTATAGAGATCCTGATGAATATGGTGACGTATCTTGACTAAGTAAATGTAGAGCCAAAGTTTTGTTAATATGTTAAATATATATGATGTTTTGCAAAAATCATTGGCCAGAAAAAAACTGTTATTATTTAATAACTAGAGTGGCACAAATTGTAATGTGGCAATAACAACCACCATTTAATGATAAACACTTACTCTTTGATGACACCTCGGCCATCTTAGTTTTTTCTGTTTGTATTCTTCAATCTTAGAGACATTTTTTTTAAAAAAAAAACTAAAAAGAAGATCGACATAGTGCATGTATGGTTGGACAAAGATTATTGTTGTTGATAGCAATTGAATTTTTTTTTAATTTTTTTTTAATCTTTTATCTTTTACAAGATGAGAAAGCATAAATGTTAATTGGTATAGTTTTCTCTAAAGAAGATAAGATGTTGTTTATTGATGGTGAGAGGTATACAATTTTTATTTTTTATTCTATTGTTTTTATAAATATTATTGAAATCAAACTGTGGGAGCAATTCTTGTAATGTCTTGGGTATTTATTACAAGATTCTTTATGATGATGAATGATTGGTATCATTTTTGCTTTTCGTAATAATATTAATATTAAATAATTATAAGATGTCAAGGCAATACAACTGACTGTTGCAGATGAGGAAGGAAAGGAAACATTTTGATATGCAACATTTGTTGTGTAAAATGGGTGTTCCTGGGACAAAACTCGAATTTTCTGAGCCAATTTATCCAGTTTATAGCTACAAGGTCTCCCAGAAGCTTATTTCATGGATTTCGATACCTTTTTGATGTATATCCACATATCAGATATGTTAGGAGCCTATATTATTTCATAAATTAAATAAATAACCATATATATCTTGAGGTTCAATTATAATTGATTTAAAAATTTTGATTTTATTAAATGATTTCATATAATTATATAAATAAATTATAATGCTTTCATTTGTTTTTTATTACTCATTTTACCTTTGCAACAGCCATGTGAACAAATTGATAATTGTCATAATATATATCTAATTACCAAACATTTATTACTCTAATAAATAAGCATGCATAAAACCTTTAATTATAAGATAATAATTAAAATTAAAGCATTGCATTTTCATAAAAAAAATATTTCCTTATTCTTTATATAATAAATTATAATACCTACTTTTATAATAAAAGTTGTTGCAATTGATTTTTCATTTTGAAATATTTGCTCTATTCTCACATTTTTTCTATTAAAACAGTTTTTGTAATTTCTCTAAAACTAATTACAAACGCCCCATAAAGTAGTATTCATATGAAAGATTAGCAGAGAGAGTATTTTACATCCATCTATCAAGCAGCATGGGAAAACAATCCCAGCTTTGAAGGAAACAGTAATACTGATTTTGGTTGGTCATAACTTTATGCAAAGAATTCTTCTGAATATAAGAAAGTATTTGTTGAAAGCTTTAATGGTGCAGTTTTATTTATTTTTTAATAGTGTAGCTCAAGTTTGTTTATTTATTTTTTTGAAAAATAATAATATATATTTTTTTAGAATAATAATTCATCAAGATTTTCTTCAACAGCTTTTACCTATATTTTTGCAAAATGAAAATATGTGGTGAATTATTAAACAAAAAAACCCTATTATATTAAATATTTTTTTCTTGCATACCTTAGCAAAAATTTCAAAATATGAGCATATAATAGTGATTGCCAAAATTATACCTGTGCCTGAACCAAGCACACCTTTAATGTCATAAACACATACAACATATTAATAATATTAACATTAATATATATATTGTTTAATTTTAAAAATACCAAAAATAATCAACATTCTACTTGTAGAATAATCTAAATATTATATTTTATATATAAATAATTGAATAAAAGGAGCACTTCCAATTAAAGCAATTTTTTTATTGATGTTATTATAATCTATTATGTTATAAATAAAAAAATTGATTTAAAGAACTGGAGGAGCTGATATCTTCAATTTCTCTCTGGCATACTCTACAAATTAATATTTATGTGAGAAGGAGAACATGAAAAATAAAGGTGTTAAAAACAGTCAATTGATCAATTGATTTGATTGATTGATTGATATCATACCTCATCAATAAGAACTGGCCAAGCTCCTAATTTATGAAATGTTAAAATATTCATTTAATGACACTAATAAATCTTTACAAATTTAGAGTTAACTAAAAAAAAGTCTTTGGTTAATTAATTACCCTCTGTATCATAATTATTTAAATCCTCATTGATTTGTCTGGCAAATTCCAGCAGCTAGAAAAAATAATACACAAATGAAATAATTAATTCCAAGAGTAAATTATTACCAGCATAGCACATAACACACACATACCAAATTCCAAGTGTCTTTTGAGATTGCTTTACCATGTTTTTCCTAATTCAAATAAATAAATTATTACAAGTGCACACATATTAAATAAAATAAAGGTTTAATAGATGGATGGATTTACAATATGAACCTTGACAAATTCTAACCAGATATCAAGAAGTGGCCAATGATCTCCCAATAATAATTTCCAGAATTCAGTTGCTACATCAAGGCCTAATATATTTAAGAAAGTAAGTAAGGATTTGGAAAATAGTCAAGAAATTATCTTTTTCAAAAAAAAAAAAAAAAACACAAACACAATAATAGTCATACTCAACGATTTTTTATTTTCTCCTAATCCAAATTTAAAAGTAAATTGATAAATTTCTTTAAATTTAAGGTCATCATTCAGGGTTTGTCTAAGACCAGGTATGGCTGCTCGCATCTTTAGAAGTGTATCACATCTAAATAAGAGATTTTAATAATTAACAACATTTTCAAGAAAATAAAATTTAGAAAAATAGGACTTGTGTTAAAAGAACCTTAGTTTCGACCAACCCTCAATAAATCCTTCATATTTAAATTCACCAATTTTTTCTGCTTTAAGGTGCCAAGCCATGACCAACATACCAACATCTTCAGGGTCAACTCCCAAATCATTACAATATTTTATACTCCATCCACTGAAATTACTCCTTTTCTATCCCTATCATTGCCTTCATCCCTATCTATAGAAATGGATTGTAATATATGTATGGCATGTTAATATTAGTATAATTTATGAAATCAACCAATCAAATTCATTAACTACAAACTAACCTATGTACTTGTTAAATACATCTTCAAGTTTTCTTAAATCTATTCCAGAACTCAAATTTTGAGAAGTTGATAAGCCTCTCCAAGTGATGGTGCTAGGTTGATTATTAAAATAGTTGTCTACAGCTACTTTGACTTTCCAATTGAATTCTTTTAATTTTTTTTGAGAAACTTTTTCACTAATTGTTTTATTATAATATTGAACTAAAGTTAATATACCAACTAATATACATGTATACATGTATAAACTTGTGTTGTCATGGTAATTTTTATTATCAAAATTTGATACCTTGCATTCGTAAAGGCCATAAATTGTCTGATTTTTTCCTTTTGTTGAGTTTTTGTGCTCTGGAAAAGTGAAGAAAGCTGGGATCAATAAAATAATATCATAAACAACATGCTTTTAATGAAACTGGATAAAACCAAGTTCCTTACATACCATGTTTCTAATTATTTCCTTTTTATGTTTATGATTTTATATTGTCAGGCTTGTAATTACTGGTGGTTATTTTTTAAAAAATTTTTTTTTGTTGTATATGTGATCTACTATATATAACACAATGTGTGTAACTTCTTCAATAACTTTACTTTTTTTCTCCTAACCCACCCATATAATACCATTTATACAATGAGTTGTGAGTATTATAATAATATAATAATAATAATGATCTTTTTTTTTTGTTGATATTGATGTGTGCAGCCATTTGTTGTTGAATTTATAGCATGTATACTATTAATGGTCGAAGTTGAGGTTGTT